CCAGGAGGTGAGGGAGGAGGGGACAAGTGAGACCCAGGAGGTGAGGGGAGGAGGGGACAAGTGAGACCCAGGAGGTGAGGGGAGGAGGGGACAAGTGGGGTACAGGAGGTGAGAAAAGAGAGGGAAAGTGGGGGACAAGAGGTGATGAAGGACAGGGCAAGTGAAGTGACAAAGAGAAGCTCTCCAGCTCTGCCAGATCTCACATGAGGAGCAAGGACAGAGGAGGTCTCACGAAGCAGGAAGGCTTCAGACTGAAGAAGACAGTTCACAAAGTGAACAAAGAACTGAACAAAGATGGTGATAAGTGAGGAAAAGATCTCACAGTCTAAAGACAATCAAAGACACATTTATGTTTGTTGGACTTTATTTGTTTAACCGTCTTAAATGGTAAAGAAACATGTTCAAAGAAAATAAAGGTTTTCTAAAAATCAAAAAAATCTTTCTCTGCCGACGCTTTCACATCATCCGTCTCACTCCTGAATCCTCTTTGGACTTCATTGTCTTTGACGCCACAATAACTCTAATACTATAAGTAACTATACTATAACTATAATAATATAATAATATACATTTCTGTGGTGGACGTGTTCTCTGGGTTTAACATAAATCTGGAGACATTTTCTCAATCATAATTCTCAAATTGCTTTTCTTATCACAACATATTTAGTTTTTGGGCACAAAGAGTTTATGATAAGAATAAATGATGTAATATGTTATTATAAAGAATGTCTGAATCTCAGAAACTACAAGGTGCACAATCACATGTTTGTATCTATGAACTCACAAAAAGATGAATATCAAACATGTTCACATATATGCAGTTTAAGATGTATTGAATATGGAAGACGTCTAATAACCCAATGGTAGCGTTTTTCCACCTTGACTCTAGAATTGTCAGATTGTACTGTTAGACACTAATCTAAAGGTTATCCGTACCAGATTGAAACAATTTAGACCGATCAGAACAAATGTTGTGTCATTCTAACAGAAACTAAATATAGTCTCTGGGACACATGGGATGAGTCTCCAACACGTCCAGAGGAGACGGATGGAGTTAGACCTGCTGACAGCCTTCAGTCTCTGATGTCTCACATGTTTTCTGCTTGTTGAGTGAATTGACTGTAGAAGTGTTTCAGGCTGATTCTGGGTCAGACTGTAGTTTAAACAGAACTGCTCTGTGGTTTGATAATAGTGACGATACAGAAGTCCTATTTCTGCACCAATATATCAAATTATATTATAGTAATTATACAACACTACAGTACTACTACAATACCACAGTATTACTACAACACCACAGTATTACTACAACATTACAGTATTACTAGTTTTACTACAACACTACAGTATTAATTACTACAACACCACAGTATTACTACAACATTACAGTATTACTAGTTTTACTACAACACTACAGTATTAATTACTACAACACCACAGTATTAATTACTACAACACTACAGTATTAATTACTACAACACTACAGTGTCACTACAATACCACAGTATTACGACAACACTACAGTATTAATTACTACAACACTACAGTGTTAATTACTACAACAATACAGTATTAATTACTACAACACTGCAGTATTAATTACTATAACGCTACAGTATTAATTACTACAACACTACAGTATTACTACAACAACCACAGTATTAATTACTACAACACCACAGTATTACTACAACAATACAGTATTAATTACTACAACACTACAGTATTACTACAACAATACAGTATTAATTACTACAACACTACAGTGTTACAACAATACCACAGTATTACTACAACACCACAGTATTACTAGTATTACTACCACACCACAGTATTACTACAACACCACAGTATTACTAGTATTACTACCACACCACAGTATAACTAGTATTACTACCACACCACAGTATTACTAGTATTACTACCACACCACAGTATTACTGGTATTACTACCACACCACAGTATTACTAGTATTACTACCACACCACAGTATTACTACAACACCACAGTATTACTAGTACTACTACAACACCACAGTATTACTAGTATTACTACCACACCACAGTATTACTCCATGACTTCAGGTCACTTGATTGCATCACAGCAGCATCTTCTCCTCTCCAGCTGGATGGAGATGTGCTCGTGCTGAACTCAGTGAAAGCTTCTCCTTTTTGTCCCTTCTGTGAGCCGGTACTCACCTCTGGTCCTGATGCAGCAGCAGCAGCAGAGAGAGTGTTGAGGAGGGAGAGCTGCATCCGATAACTGCTCTAAATTTAACAGAAACAGACATTGCTCTAAACATGGAGGCATAGCTGCCTGTGAGCTGCTTATCGTCCCTCTCCCAGCGGGCCATGGCCATACAAGGCTCTGCGGGGCCCGGGGCCATCCAGCAGCTCCTCGTCCCGCCGACACGTGGGGGAGATAACGGCTAACGGCAGCGTGGTGACGCTGCCGGGCCACAACAGGCAGGAATGCTGAGAGGAGTGCCCCCCCCCCCATTGACATCTGTGCAACCTTCACAGCCGTGACTTTCCACACATAAGGTGACATCCAGAGACCTGCAGACCCCACTGTGTCCTGAGGAGGAACAGGTCTGTAGTAAACCTTCACTTTATGTCTGTTCTCTGACAGACGAACCACAGAGACTTGATGCAGAGATAAAGCTGAAACCTTCAAAGTCTATTCAACTGATTCAAACTGAACACCAGGGTTCAGAAGTATAAATGACACAAGTCCAGCACGACCACACAGCTCATTGGCTCCCACATCAGCGTCAGATCAGCTTTCTGGTCATTCAGACCCACAATCCTTTGCACAGCAGATATATGAGTAACAGGGTCAAAGTTCAAGGTGGCATATTATGATGAGGTAGTTCATCCCAATTGAATGCATACTGCATGGACCAGTAAGTACTCTGTACTCAGCTGCACTTTGTAATGGAAGTAAAAAGAAAACATTTGGAACACAGTCGTGGTTTGAGTTTAAATAAGTACGTTTTTCTCAGAATTCAAGTTAAATACGTTTGGTACTTTACAGTAACTCCACACAGACTTGTGGTTTCACTGCTGGACGTGAACAGCGGCCTGGTGGAAGTCCTGTGTTTCTTTCTTTCTAAATGTTTTGTAAAAACAAATAAAACTGGTTTGTTACACACACACCTGTTACACACACACACACCTATTAATCACACACACCTGTTACACACACACCTGTTGCACACACACACTTGTTACACACACACCTAAATCCGTTGATATCCGGCAGGAAGGCCAACGTTTTTAGCCTGAATTTGTGATAGAGGGTGACTAGTGGTATTAAGTTATCCGGGCTATAGACGGTCTGTAGACGGTCTATAGACGGGCTATAGACGGTCTATATACGGTCTATAGACGGGCTGTAGACRGGCTATAGACGGGCTATATACGGTCTATAGACGGGCTGTAGACGGTCTGTAGACAGGCTATAGACGGTCTGTAGACGGGCTATAGACGGGCTATATACGGTCTATAGACGGGCTGTAGACGGGCTATAGACGGGCTATAGACGGGCTGTAGACGGCTATAGACGGGCTATAGATGGTCTCGCGTGTAGATTTTAGGGGTGCGTTCGTTATGTAGGTCGGAGGTTACTCAACAAGCCGTCTTCCAGCGCTTCACTCGCACTGGGAGGAGGTTACGCACCTAGGCTGTACACCTTCTCAACATCTCTGATCTCTATTCACCAACATCACTGATGTTCTGGTTTTAGCTGGTAGAGCTCTAATCTCCTGGACCCTGAACACCTCGTGGTAGTTTGTAATGTCTCTGCTGCTCCTCTGATGAAGTGAGCCAGAACTTCTTCAGTTTGCTTCATGAGATGTTGATGATCCTTCTTCTCCAGGATGGAGATGAGGACCACGTCAGGTTGTTTGTGATTCTCAGAAACTGAGCTCCTCTCTGATTGGTTGTTGAATATCCCGGTGAGATGATCAGCGTCTTCAGAGAGTAGACGTTAATATTTATAGTTAATGTCCAGACGTTACACTCTTCTGTTTCAGGTGCGTTTGAAAACACCACCAGCACTGCCAGACTGGGACGTTAAAGTCAGCTCTTTGTGGGTCAGGTCTGTAACGGAGATCCTTCATCTTTATGAAGTCATCCGTCACTTCTACATTACCTAAAAGCATTCAACTCTAGTTTCTACGTAAATAATAAGAAAGGTGACAAACTGAAATGTGCTGACTCATGAGATTTATGAGATTTATGATCCAGTTCAAGCCAACGTTGGAGAAGAGATGAGCAGCAATATGTTACGATGAGAATGTCACACTTATCATTGAACTCGTGTATATTTAGAGTCAAACCTTCATTCACAACGCTGACTTTCTAATTCTAAATCTACGTCTGAGTGTTTACAGTAGAATTAGTTTCCAGCTGCGTAGGATTGTTTCAGTGATCCAAACATTCACAATAAGAGCGAATAAAGAAATAGTCGTTGAAAAATGATCATTCACACGTTTCTATCTCATGAGATATTCTGCTTCAATCCGGTTTGTTGGTGTTCAGCCTTTAAAAGCATTTTCACAGAGAGGCAGAAGAACGTTGGTTTAACAGAAGAAGAAGAACTCATTCATCTGTTTAGATGACATCATAGTGATGACACACATTTAAAGATCCATTAGAACCTCAACAGAACCTTTGACTGGAAAAGAAAAGAGTGAAACATCACAGAAGCAGAACGACTTTAAGCATTAATCTGACGAGTCAGCACTATATTTACTATTTCTATGAAAAAGGTGAATTCATACTCATGTCTGAATGTAAATAGACTTATTCTGTTGAGTTTTCTGGAGGATGTTTGTGCTCCGACACAACAGAGACAGAGTGAGTGTGTTTGTGTGACTCAGCTGTTGAGTCCATGTACATGTGACAGTATGGCGCCCCCTTCAGGACAAACTGTTCAGTGACGAACGCTCATCAATCAGAGCAACTCAAATCATAATGCTGTTTATTTTGAGCCATGCTAGTGGACTGAACTATGAACTATGGGATGGACTGAAGGAATGTAGTTCAGACATGAATGTGATGACTCTGGAGATCCTCTGACTTTCTCTCTAGCGCCACCACCAGGTCAACATTTAGTTTAGAGAGAAAGGTCTATCGGATGAACTGTTGGTGGAACGGCACCATCACGAGGTCAAAATCGATCTAAAACTTTAGTTTCTGAATCTAACAGTTTGTTTTTTAGTTCTGTTCTCTGTGATGAGACCTGGTGTTGAGCTAGTCTTTAATGTTTTGGTCATCAAACGTGATATTTATGCTGTTCCATTTGTATTTATGCCATTTCAAGCCAAAAAACTTAAAAATAAATAATAAAAAAAATTTTATTTTCCTATTTTTTACAATTTGTGAAATTGTACGTGTTCAATGTTTATTGAAATAAATATTTGAAATTTTTACTTTATTGTTTAAAATAAATAAAAATATTATAGATCTTTTTTTATTTATTTATTTTTTAATAAAAAGATAGCCAAAAATTGCATATGTACAATTCTACAAATTTTCAAAATAAAAACAAATTAAATTAAAGCTGCGAGCAGCAATGAACGGGCCCTCGCATCCTCCAGCGCGTCGGGGGTGCTGGCGGGACTCCGGCCTGCGCATCCAAGAACGTCCGCGACCGTCGGACAGCGCGTCCGCGAGTGAGACGTTTTTAATCCCGCGTGGACCGCCTGATGCTGGAAATGATGCTTTGCAAATAGTCCGACGCTTCCTGTATCCGCTGCCTAGCGCTACAGAACACGTACATCATGTAGCTCTATATCAAGTGTAAACTACATTGTGTAAAAGTCATGTAAATCGGATGGTGTTTGTCAAAAAATGCAGATTTCCTTTCGCCAGCAGGTGGCGCTGTGAGTATTATTGAAAATTAGCTTGTAGACATCCTCAGGCCATGAGTGTTATCAAGCATGAGAAGTTTGGGACCGTTTGGAACAAGTCCAGCTGAGTTACATCAGACATTTCCTTTAGCCAGTAGGCTTTGCGGGTTTACTGTAGCGCCCCCTAGTGGTTGAATGCAAAACAATTCTCAGGGTATGTTACTGGATGCGATGTGCACATATGCTGAATATTTTGGGAATTTAGGACAAATGGTTGAGAAGTTATGTGTATTGATATTATGTCATGCCCCTAAGAAGTGTATTGGTCCATATCTTCTAAACGCAAAGAGATATCAAAAGGCTTTTGATAACTTTTGATGATCTAAATCCAATTATGATCCACAGCAAATTTCGTAGAAATCAGAGCCAGCGTGTAGGAGTTCGCAAAGATGTGTTTTTTCACTAAATTCAAAATGGCTGACTTCCGGTAGGGTTTAGAGCATGGTCCCAAGAGACTTTTTTTAAGTCTCCATAGGATACATGTGCCTACCAAGTTTCATGTATGTAGCCAAAACGTAGTGCTGGGGCTGCTCTTTTGAAATATTGTAGGGGGCGCTATAGAGGCAATTTAAAACAGCCAATAAAAACATCATATAAACTATTTCTTCCAATGACCTGTGACACATGTACAAAGTTCCATGAGTTTTTGAGCATCCCAACCCACTAAACCATCAGCTTCCTTTTTTATGGCGAACGCTGCTTCGCCACGGCAACAGCGTTCAACGAAAACTCACAAAATTCATGATGATGCATCATCAATGTCTTAAAGCTATTCTTACCATATTTTAGACTCATCAGGTCACCTGGCTAGGAGGAATAATTAAAAGTATAAAAAATGACATTTCCTTTAGCCAGTAAGCGGCGTTATGAATTATTGATTTTCTTTTAATTGAAGTATGTTCAAGCTTGCAGTAGCATCATGCATAATATATTTTGTGTGGATTGGATAATGTACCTTGGAGTTATAACAACTTCCTTTTTCATGCCGAATGACGCAAAATGGCCGCCATGCCACGTCAAGGTTCTTTGACGAAAACTCATGATTTTGATAACTTTTAATCACAAAGGTCTTAAGAGCATCCTGACCAAAGTAGAAGATGATCGCATAAAATCTGTAGGAGAAGTTCGTTAAAGTGCGAAGGCTGAAAAATGTAAAAAGTGACAAAAAACACAAATTTGCGGGTTTATTGTAACGCCCCCTAGTGGTCGAATGCAAACAAATTCTCAGATTTTATTACGGGATGCGATGTGCACATATGCTGAAAGTTTTGGGAATTTCGGACAAATGGTTGAGAAGTTATGTGTATTGATATTATGCCACGCCCCTAAGAAGTTCATTGGTCCGCATCTTGTAAACACTAAGATATATAGAAAAGCTTTTGATAACTTTAGATGATATAGGTCCATTAATGAT